ACTTTGGCTTTTCACAGCAATGTCTTACTTACCCACCGCCTTCAAGGGATCAAAGGCATGGGACTAGCACCTTCAAGCACATGTTCACAGTCTCTACTTGGCTTGGCTCAAGCAGGTAAGTGCATTCATTTTGTAGTGTAGTTTTAGAGTTAGGGACTAGATTAGATTTGAATCTCCTAGGAAGATCTCGTGTGGACATTTTCCTCCCAGTCCAGGTCTGATGCAGCATAGTCAACAATAGAGGTTACAATTCTTTCAAAAATTGTTCTAAGTTCAGGACCTTGATAACCAAATGGGCTTGTTGGATCAGTTGTGCAAGTATGTGATACAAGACTCTCTGGACCAGTGTCTCCAGGAGCTAAAATATATAAATTTACAGTCATCCTAATCCTTGATCTATGAAAGATGATGATCAAAGTTCGTAATGATGGGGGATACGTTTGGCCATCTTGAAACCTTGAGTAAATATATAATAAAGTATGCCTTAAAGTGCGCCTGAATATATTTACATTAAGAACAAAAGGATTTCTAATATAAATCACACTAGGATTAGTAGCTGGAGTAGGAGGTGGTGACAATACAAATATTAATGAATTTAAAATGAAAAATAAATATATAAGAAATTTTTTCATTCTCATGATAATTATAAAATTTTATAAACTATTTAATACTATTTTGTGTTACAATTAGGCCAATCTCATTGGTATAATATTGTGGGATATCCATCTAAATGCTTATTTGTATTTTTGGTAAATCCAAATAAGTGTATAAAACAGGTATTAGTTCAATATCTAAATTATTTTATCTGTTCATTCATCTTTAACAAATTAGTATATTATCCAAATTTTAGAGCTTGCAAAGTGGTAAAGATATATATAGTCCAATAAAACAGACAGTAAAGATGGATATTCTCTAAAAATATAATAAGTACCTTAACAAATTAGACATATAAAACACTTTCGTTATTAAAGATGCAAGAGTTGTCTTTTGTCAGAAAAATAAATGGAGCTTTAAGGATATTATTTTTATATTTTGAATTGATCAATTCAGAGTTTTTAATTTTTGATGGTTATGATTATTTCTTAACAAATATGGTCTAAAATTCTATACACTACTATCAATTTTATTCAATATAGCAATTTAGGTCATTATTAATGAGTATCCTTATGAACCACAACCATAACCTCCTCTTCCTCGTCCATGACCTTATTTATAATTGTGTCCACCATCCCTACCATGACTAGCATTAGTCACAAACTAGGATCTCATGAAGAGAGTACCCATCAATTTCCCCTTATATAATCTATTTAAAATTAATAAAGCTAGTTAAATTTCTCTCACCATGAAAGTAATCCATAAATATGAACTACAAAATGCTTTTGACATGGAAAAAAATATTGTATATCTTGTATTTGTATCTAAATTAGAATTTGTTTTTGAAGTCACTAAAGAAAAGCCAAAGTCCTTGTCACAGTAAAATGTAAAACTTAACTACCTTACAACTTTAAGGCTTGCAAAGAGTCTGATGTAGTTATGCAAACTTTATCAATGGTAGCCATCTTTGGGTAACACACACTTTAGGAATGATTAAATCCAAAACTTGTATTGAAGCAATCAATTGCCTAACCTGTCACAAGATTTATTGCATGAGTATGACTTCAATTTAGTTTATGGCAATGTTGAGCCTCCAAAGCTATTTCCAGCTTGCAGCAAAATGCTATGATTGAGATGAAACTCACAAATACTCACTCACTAACACAAGTGAAGCACCAATTATATTTTCTTGTTTCAATCAATGACCAAACTTAGATCTTCTTGCTTGGGAAATATTTCATAACAATATATACAAAAACATATATTGATTGATTAAATGCAGTATAATATATGAAACTTTACTCAGCATAACACTTTTCTTAAACATATATATTTTGATTGAAATTACTTGATCTTAATAATTATTTTCTAAGAGTCTTTTTAACTATTTTTCTTGAAAGTGCATCAAACATTTAGTGTCCCTTAAGAACCAATAACATTATACCCACTAGAAACTAGGTGGGGGTATCTTTATGGTGCTCATGTCTTTTAGCATTTACCATAGAGAATGAAGATTAGCTCTACTACATGATGCAAATATAAAGTACTTAAACTTAAGATGAAGAAGTGGTTCATATTTAAATCTTGAATTTTTATCTTATTGAAGAATACTCATCTATCATAACCTAAACTTTTTATTTCCAAAAATTAAAGCATTTTTTATTTGGATAATTTCATCATCAAATGTCCATTATATAAAGAAAAGGATTTCCACTTTGATTACTTTTAAAGAAATTAATACCTTTTATAGAAGCTATATTTAATCCAAAGTCATTAGGTAGTACTGAAAAAGTCATAGTCAATCCTTATATCTAAAAATACAACTCAAATCTCTGCACAAATGTACATCCAATTATGATCTAATACTGTAAATAAGAATAAATATTTCCAAACTTATTGGTAGAATAATATCATAGGATATCCATTAAAATTCTTTAGCAAATCCAAATTCAAGCTTAAACTACCTAGTTTACATGCTTCTTAATACCATTATTTTTAAAGCACATCTTTTAATAAAATCTTGTAGTAGTGAATGCAAGTTAGTGCTGGCACTATACAAGAGATAAATTGCCATGGACACATATCAAGATTAGAGTTTAGTTAAATTTCATCCTAATCAGTACAATGGTTTTTATTCAAGTATTACTTTAGAGATAAGGAATTTGATACTTTTAAAATATGACAAAATGTTTATGATACTTTAAATCACAAAAGGTTTTATTTTATTTTATATAGAGTTTTTATTCCTTTTCATGATATTAAACCTGCAGAAAGAGAGAAAGATTAGCTGCTAGAATCCTTCAGTTTGTGCTTATGTTTGATAACTGTAGATGGTTTTGGTGTTAGAAAAACGATATGCAATAGATATTAGTTTTAGGAGGGGATGTGTCAAAGAAGAGTTTGCTGATAGCCAAGTTGTGAGAGCATTTAGTATATACTACTTGTGATGTAACAATTAACACAAGGTGTGAGCTTATTGTTATGGAAAAAAAATTACAATTTTCCTTTATTGTGCAAGATAAAAATTTAACTTATACTTCCTAATATATAGATATTATATATAAAAAATGCTTCTAATACAACTATTTCAATCACAAAAAATCCTTTTCTCTCTTTTTTTATGCCATTTGTCATTAACATGCCCCTAGTTAATCTTGTTGTAGTCATCATCACCATTTAAATTGAAGAACATAAAGTTATCTAAATTTTTAATCTTTAGAGAGCATCTTGAAGTAGTTTTTGGTTGATTTTGACAAGAAAATCCATATTTAGCACAAAAAAGTGTTTAAAAATATCAATAAGATAATTTTTCATAGTTCCATCAAATTATAATATATATCTATCATGGAAATATCATCTCTGAAAACCATTAACCCCCATCTATTGGTTTAATAAGATATTATTAAGATAATATGCTTTGATAGAGCTAAAATATTTTGAATTTGTCCTTCAAGTAGCATGGCAAATCAGAAACTAATCCTCAAATGCAAGGTAAACATGCCTTTGCAAGGCTTTTCAGGGTACAAATTTGAGGCCTGACTCTTTGTACAAACCTTTCAATTAGATCAACACCAGTTTTGAGCCAATCTCCTCACATTTGATCTAGCTTTCTCTTGTCTTATACTAGTCTTGACGTTCATCTTGCTTCAATAAAACTCTGACAACCTTAAGAGATTTCTGCTTAATTGTAATGTGGTGCCAAACTCTCCATCCATTGCAGCTTATTTGTCACATTTATGTAGCATGGCACAAGAAAAGCATTAGAATTGAATATGTAGTACTTCTCGTTCAGACTAAAGATTAAGCAATGATGGTCAAATCAAATTTGGCACTAGTCAATGATAGTCAACAGTTTTTAGGTCACGGAGACGGAGGAGGCTAAAGGCAAGGCGGGCGATTTCGCCCAGGCTCTAGATCACTACAAGCAGGCGATCGGTGGCGGATCCAGCGAGAGCGGATGATCTGGCGGCCTTGCATAGCAACTGCTCGTTTGCACACCTCAAGCTGGGGCAACTGATCGAGGTATTGAAACGATCAATCATAACTTTAAATGCGATCATCTGCAATCCAACTAGCCCTTGGATGTGCATGCAAACAGCAAATGGAGCAAAGTAAGCGGCTTTTTGAATCCTTGGAGAAAATGTGATGAAAGTTTTTTTTTCTTTCCTCTTTACATGTAGGCTCACTTTCGATGCGGGGAAGTTTACTTTGCGATGCGGGATTACGGTCGTGCGGAGAAAGCATATGCACAAGCAGCTCAACTGGTACGATCTCGCTCTCTTTTCCTTGTTGCTGTCGAGTTTTTCGTTTTATCTTTATCTGTGTAGCTTGCAGTCTCCAGCAGATGAAACCATCGGTAGAAACTCCGCCTCACGCGTGAAGCTGTAAATGGGAACTTCTACTTTCGACAGGTATGATTTTTCGTTGGAGTTTACTTCTTTTGACTGATGCAAGACCACTTTTTTTCTAGCTTCTAGCGGGAAGAGATTTCTGTCTAAACCCCGGGAATATAATAGAAACGCAGGTGAGTGAGGCTTATTTTTTGCTGCTCAAAGTATAGCTCGCCACAATGAGATGTTTACTTCAGATTTTCAACGCTGGAGCTCAGATGCAAAACTACGTCTATTTGGTTGGCGATGCGAAAACTCGCGAGGCTGTGGTGGTCGATCCGGCATGGGACGTCAAAGTAAGTCCTTACATGCGTGGAAAAAATATTTTTTTATTGGAGTTCCACTAGGGAATCAAAGCCTTCGCAGATGCGGAACACATAAAACTTGTAAGTGAATTTTATTTTGGGAGATTATTCTAAAAGAACTTCTTTCTCTCGCTAAAGGTCGGTGCTGTAGCTACTCATTATCACTTTGATCATACTGGAGGCCCCCCTCCGCCTCCTTTCGATCGACTTATGATCAAGCTGCCGGGAGTGCGTCAACTGGCAGTCGAAGATAATCTGCCGGTACAGCCATTGTATTTCTTGTGTTGGTTCTAACTTTTCCTTTTCCATTTTCTTGTGTCTTATAGATTTATGTCAACAAGCATGACGCTGGAACAATCAAGACCAAGAACGAGGTGCCCGGGCAGTCTATAGTCGAGTTGGATGTAAGTGGTGATCGTCGTGCTTTGAGTGTCTATTTCCAATTCTTTTCAGGATTTGAGCACTGTGGTGGGAAGCTTGAAACTGGAGTTCACACAACACACCGGGTCGCACTCCGAGAAGCCAGTGCATTCGTATCAACCGGTGCGTGTCACTCACCTCTTCCTTCTCCGGTTTTGATAAAACAATGCTGTCCAGAGCTCCGGCTGAGGACGTTCTTCTTTCCCTTCCATCACCACGCTCGTCTCTCCATTGCCAGACAACAAAGATAACACTTTTAGCCATCCAAGTAGTAGAAAGGAAAAAAAACCCGAGAGAGAGAGAGAGAGAGAGAGAGAGAGAGAGAGAGAAGCAGCTGCAGCGCTTCCACGGCCCTGCTACACGCAGTCACTGGCAGACAAAGGATATCAATTCTCCAGTTCTCGCCCAAAACATTGCCGTGACATTTACACTGTAGGAGCATCTTCTTGAGGAGGAGCAAGCACAATGGATCATCAACCACAACCAGCACGCGAATTCCTATAGTAACGTTGTAGAGTCACACGTAGTGAATATTCTGGGGATATCCTTGTCCGGGGTATATTCTGCTTGACAAACGCCCGAGGTGACAATTTGTCAACGGTGTTCTTACGGCAAGTTGACGATGCATGGGATTCCAGTGAAAGAGTGGGAGTTTAAACACACACACACACACACACACACGAAGAGAAGTTTCTTTCTCTTCTTTAATAGGTGAAGATCTACTCCCACTCTCAGCCATCTTCCATTCTCATCCTGTACGGAAGACATGCACAAGTTATATAGAACTTGTTCTTCCAAGTACAAGAACAAGAATGTTCTCTCTGTCTTGTACGGAAGACACTGTGACAATAAGATTGTGTGGCCCATTCATTGTCTTGTTGTACATAGTTCTTTACTTTATCTTTAGAACTTCTCTCGCGATCAATCACCAAAACTTTAGGAAACTTTAGATCTTGAGGTTCTGCTCTCGTCCATAGATGGTAGCCATGAGGACGTACAGCAAAGTGCTCTTGCTGTCCACCTCCATGATCTTCCCAAATGTGAGTTTCACTATTAGGCACCAGCTTTGACCACGTGGTCAACGTCGGTCAAAAGGAGACTTAAGGGTATATAAAGCATGTTAGGGAGGTGTAATATAGTTTAGAAAGACTAAATTTTTGTCTTTTTGGTGAACATTAGTATCAGAAAAGTTGGTTCCAATGGTTGACCAAGTTGAACACTCGAATTTTATTGTCAATGGTAGTGTTAATGATGGTGCCAATGAAGCAATGGAGGTTTAAGTGGCAAGCCCTTAATAAAAATCAACAAAAGATGCAAGACAAGATGCATAGCATGATAGATATTATGCATAAGTATGTTGAGGCACTTGAAGCTGGATGTGATAGCACTCAAAATAACCTTTTTTTAGTAAATCAACTCAAGATTTCAACTTTTTTTTATAATGGTGGTATGGATGAGTGTCTAGTTTGGCTAGCCAATGTGAATAAGTTCTTGGCTACTAAAGGAACTCTAGATGTAGAGGCTTTAATGGCTATTTCAATGGCTTTGTGTGATATGGGTTTTCAATGGTGGAATTGGTTTGAGGAGTTTCATATTATGGATAAGAAACCATCAATATCTACCATGGATGAGTTTGAGGTTACTTTTTATTTAGGTTTTTCTCCTCACTATAACGTGGAGAATGCTTATATAAAATTTCAACATTTCTAGCAAAGGAAAATGATGTTTAGGGACTATATTGAGAAGCTTACTGGTTTGATTAGTTATGTTCCCATGAAAGATCCAAATCAAAACAATCCTACTTTATTGATGGCCTTCATAGTGAGAGCATACAACAACACTTGCATCATTATCAGCTTACAAAGAGTTTGAAAGAGCTCTTTGATATGGCTCGTTAACTTGACAATAACAAATACAAGTCTCATAAGTGTTTGAGGAGTCCTTTTATCGAGAATCGTTACGATGATTGCCATAAATACAAGGATGGGAACAAACATCACAAGCTGAAGTCTATGGTGGCTACTTTGGATGCAAAGGGGTCAAAGAAGCAAAAGTTCTTTGTATCTTCTACTGACAGTAAGTTAAATACTAAAAAATTGCAAACTTTGTAATATAAGGATGATGGGGATGACCATTTTGGTTGGAGAAAGAGGCTTTAGATCATTGCTCATCAACTTAACTGTGTGTGGAATAAGAAGGAGCTCGAAGACACTCATACATTAGCTTTAATGCTGGAGGGCATGTTTTGTGGCAATCCAATGTGGATTTTATTAGATAGTGGAAACAATGGCAACTTTGTTATGGCAAAGTTTGTTGAGAAGAATGTGTCCAATCCCAAGACCGACACCCCAAGGTACCATCGACATACCAGCCCGTTACACTAAGGTCATGCCCATTCACCTTGGTACCACCAGTGGTCCAACACCACTTGCATCGCAATCCCGTCTCTCCACGACTGGGCCATCCGTCTAAGAGTGACTATCCAAGATCCACTCCTTAGCATCCTTAAGATGCCTGCAGACAAGAGGAACCACCTTCCCCAATATCCCTTTTACAGTCCCCACCAAGTCCCTTTTCTGCCCATGGCCGAGTTTGCCTACTCTGCCACTGGGACAAGGCTTGCAAGCCCGACCACTAAGTCCTACTGTCCTCTAGGACTTTCTCACCACATGACCGTATCCTTGGTCACCATACTAGAGGATTGCTCCGCTTCCATTCTACAATCTAGGACTTTGGGACAACATTTCGGAACACCGTCGCCTTATGCGAGCCTCGTGGGTACTCTCTCCACTTTCCGCCTTTGGGTGCACCCACACTTGGACTGGGAGCATCGACCATTCGATCTCCCAGGGGAACCACTTCACCAAGCTACCCTGCTTGATAGTTTGTATTCACTCTAGCCTTAGACCTCCCAGTGGTTATCCCATCACCTAACACTTGGGTATAACTTTCCTGCGCCAAATTGGCCTTTCCTAGCCAAACTGGCTCCACTGGAGTCCTCCCCCTTACTATACTTTTGGAGCTCACCAAACCCCCTAGGGTCTGGGAGACAAACGCTTTGGGCTTTCACCCTCTTAGACTCGAACTCAGACTTGAACTTGGACTCAAACTCAGATTTGGACTCAGACTCAGGCTCGGTCTTGGCCTCGGCCTCGGTCTTGGTCCCGGTCTCGGTCCCGGTCTCGGTCTTGATCTTGGTCCCGGTCTCAGTCTCAGTCTCGGTCCTGGTCTCGGTCTCGGTCTTGACTTCGAACTCCATCTGGGGTCCTTCTCGGACTCCATCTCAAACTCCATCTCGGGTCCATCTCGGACTCCATCTCAGACTCCATCTCAGGTCCATCTCGGTCCATCTCGGACTCCATCTCGGGTACATCTCAGACTCCATCTCGGACTCCATCTCGGGTCCATCTCAGACTCCATTTCGAAGTCCATCTCGTGTCCTTTTTCTAGAGACTCTCTTATGGCTCGCTTCATGCTTGTATCTTAAGCACTCCATTGGGAGTTTCACTCCCGCTCTCAACCTTTCAAGTTGAAGCTTTTAGTCAAAATGTGTTACGCTCGTTTGGCTTTCGCTTCGCCCACTACCACATAGCACCCTTTCGGCTCCACTTTGGGGCTTAGGGATTTGTGTCTCACAACTCCACCACCCATAGATGAAGTTTGATGTCCTCATCAAACAATAAACTATTTTATCAAGTAATATTGGCATGTATTACTTTTTCCATCCTTAGCACCTAGCCCATATTTGTCAATGGTTTGACACCGAAGGCTCACCATGCCTTATTCAACCTTTAAGGAGCATAGTATCTCTAACATAGAGACTCATTTGATCACCTTAGGTGGTTCTCTCCCTTTTATTGGTTTAGCTCTTGCTAAACCCATTAGAGACACCTTCTTTAGCTCAATTTGCACTACTCATTCTCAAGTAGTCTCAACTTCTATTGATATAACCGGTTTATTTTGGAACTTTTAATTTTGACTTCTTGAAGTCAATTTCCTTGGTGTCTCTGATAGCTTTCATTGCACATATTGTGCAACTTCACTTCCCCATCTTAGGAAGTTCTCCACTTAAGGGCACCATCATCCTCCTTTTTATTTTGTGCTACCTTTGGCACTAAGTTTCAGTTATCGTAAGTTGTGCTAGAGCTGTCTATAGCCCTATAATTTGGCTACTTTGCCACTCCCTCCTTTGGAGCTTTCACCTTTGCCAACTTGGAGCATTCGGGAATCCATCCTTGGAAGCACACTTCCTTTTTCACAATCTGTTAGCATCTAATATCTTAGTGTTCCATGTCTAACTTTGCCATTTGGATTCCTTCTAATGAACTCTATGGCCCACACTTGGCCAATAGTCTTTTGCTTTTATCTGTTGATTGTTGCATTGAGTAATATAGAATCACTAATTCCATTCTCGAGGTATCCTTTTGGTTTTATGGCAAAGGCTCTACTTTGCTAAGTCCAGAGGGTGCTCACCCCTAGTAGATCTTTTTAACATTTTCTGCTATGAGCTTCGTCCACGGCCCAACTTTGCGACCCTCCCATGGGTCCTTCGTAGAGACTATTTTGTTGGACTTATTATACCATCGTATCGGCACGACTAATTTCCCTTTAGGTGTCCTTCCCACTTGGTCATCTTGACCAAGCCACACCATTATCAATAGTTCAAATCATCATCTTGAACTAAGAATTATATTCCCAAGATCACTTAGTGATCTTGTATATTGCCAAGATCACTTAGTGATCTCATCTTGACCCCTTAACAAGTCTACCAATAGGAACTAAGTCTTCCAGACCCTTTTAAATTGTTGACTATGACCCCAGGGGCATCTCCCACACTTGGCAGTGCACCCAAGCCAGCCCTTCTGGCTAAGGATCTATAGCAATTGAGACTGGGTGTCCCCATCTCATTCACCACATCCTTGGTGCCCTTTGCACCAAGGTGTTTAAGTTAGATATGCCAAACTTTCACTCTAAACAATCTAACCATGCATCATGACTCTGGAGCATCCCCCGCTTGGCGGTGTGCCCAATCCAATCTCCTCACTGAGAGTCCATAACCACTGAAATATGAGTGTCTTCATATTCCAAACCATCACCATGCCCTAGTGATTTGGGACTCGAACCCAAGCACTAGAGGGTTGGGACTCGAACCCAACCTCTGTATATGCATCTACGGATAGTATCACCCTAGATGTTTTTCGTGACTCCCCACACCGGTGCACTAATTTATATCCAAAGTGTGTTACGGATCATAGCTTAGGAACCTAGTCCCTCCAAA